AAAGTTAAATAACTTTAATATGGACTTAGATTCTTAGCTGCATTGTACTATAGACCCCAGGATCAATATAATTCAATCCAACAGATTTCCCTGAGTATTTTTTTGCAAAGCTTGGTGTTATCTACATAAGGGAAAAACTGAAGCACGGGACTGATTATTCCTTTGAATTCTAGGCTTTAAATGTTAAAGCCAATAAACACAATAAACCTAATTTATTTTCACTTGTTAATTTATTTCCTTCATGTGGCTCACAGCAGCTGTCCTGGCCTGATTTGGTACCTCTGCTCCCTTTACACCAAGACCTCTGCCAGACACAAGTGGAGACAGTTAAATTCGTTTTACCTCCATAATTTCTGTCTTGGGGAGGAAAGTTCTATACTCCATATTCCAGATGTAATTTTGAACTAAAATGTTGTGGGTTTTATATAACTGCAAAACAAACTATGAATTTGGTGAGGGAAAGAGGAGTTGATCACACACATACCAAAGCTTACGTATAATTTATATTTACCTCTCAACAATGGCAAATAAAGAAAATTCTTGCACAACTACCCTTATTTTTTTGAATTCACTAGAAAAGTTAAAACATCTTATAAGGCTAGTCCTCAAAAGCCTACATAGCTTTACTGCAGCAGAAATGCTAAGTCTTTGTTATCAAAATCAAACTGCACCATTGCAATATTAGTAAACAAGAGAGAAGAAATATTCAAGAAAAAAATACTCTATTTATTGTAAATGCTGGTGCCTACAGAAAATAGAGCTAAACTGAAGGAGGAAGGCAACTTCTGGGTACATTTCAGGACCACTGCACATCTAATTTCACTTTGAAATTCATGTTTTTCTTGATGTAATTTTCACTATTCATATGAATCAATCATAATTATGGTTGCTTTTTGATTTATAAGTGGAATAGGGAGAGAGAAAAAAGGTTTTTCTGAGGTAACTGTGAGCTGGAAGAAAAAGGGAAAAGATGAAAGTAGGTTAGGAAGACTTCTGAGGAAGAAAGGAAATGTTTGAGGTCCAGTTCAATCAGCTATATGTGAACAAAAGAAGGAAGGTGGAGGAGAGGGGACATGTCATGGGAATGATACCCTTCTACATGAGAGGGTCAGAGCTGGCGGGGAAGACGTTAGGTCAGTTCAGGTATTTCCTACACTGCCACTAGGCAATGTCATGTGCTCTGGGCAATGCACAGAATCAGTGTTTTCATTAATTAACTAATTTTTCAACAGTTGTGAACTAAGGGCCTAAAATGTGTTAGGCCCTAGGGGTGTACAGATGACAGGTACAGTATGAGACAGGTAATATAGAAAGAATAATAGA